TTTGCCGAAGAAGTGTGCAACTTACACCTGTTTTACAGGACGAGCCATTATTCCTAAGGGTCCAAGGACCCAAATAATAGGGTTTTAGGGCCCAAATACTATACTATTAATAGTATTTGGGCCCTAATACCCTTTTAGTTGAGTCCTTGGACCCTTAGGGATTGTGTAACGGTCCTCTGCTTGTTTTCGGCTGCGTCGATGTCTTCGGCAATCAGCAGGAGCTCCTGGATTTTACGGGTTGTCATTTGCTCGTCGGGAATGAAGCCCTACTTTGAAGGACCTGGGTTTAGGGTTTAGAGTTACTAATGGCTTCGGTAACGTACGTGTAACGGGTTACGGTAGGATTTCAATGGCGTATTAGGCGGCTAAGATACATCACCTAACTTCAGCGTCCTTGAAAGTAATTATCGTAATTGCCCTGACATATTCCCAATACTTTGGGGGCAAGCAGAAGGGACCCCCCTGATGGGCTGACCACCAAAAGACCTTAGACAAACCTCGTGAACCCCCAAAAATAAAACGAACTTTGGTGAAGGGAGTAGACTTGGACGAAGGGAAGAAGAAGGCTTAGGAGGCGGCACCTCCGGACAGTGATGTTCTTCAACTCCCGCCTCTTATCTTGCACTTGAAGGAATTGACGAATTGCAGCCCTAATCAAGCCCAGACGAAGTGGGCGAAACTTCGACAAAGGGGCTGGACGAAGGCCAGGGGCTTGGACGGGACCTTGTCCAGGGTTCAAGCTGTGGTCGACTTTTCAGCCGGTCCCCTGCGTTGACCACCACCAAATAACGTAATGGTTTCCATGTTATTTTCCTGGGTTGGCCCCTAAAGCTCTTTGAAAAATATTAGTATATGGGGTCCCTGATGAAAGCCATTAGGGAAAACATTAAATATTTCAGGGGCCTACCCAGTTTCCCTTGCCTCAGTCGCTGCTCACAGCGAGTTTGGTCATGGTCCCATCAGCACTGGAGCGAGCCCGATACGTGACTTGTTCAGATTGGCCGTTGAACCTCACCTTCAGGTAAAGATGGAGGCAACGTGCATTTCCCAGACACCCCGGCGAGGACGTAGAAAGTAGATCCCCCCTTGAGGGTCGCTAGAAATCACACAACAGTAGTTGAGGGTACCATTTGGGGGTCCTACTTGCTAGCGTTTCTTGCAATTCCGTTACATCCCTGCAACAACCCTATATGCATCTGTATGCATACACACACATATCACCATGCTTTGAGCGTAAGAACCTTGAATTAAAGGGACACTGTTGATCCCCGTATATTCCTCATCATGACCCCTTGTACCCTAAGCCCTTACTAAGCCCTAAACTCTAAACCCTGTCCTTCGTCATCTTCTGCACCAGCGTGCGCTGGAAACCTGCAACATCGATCGTCTTCTGCCATGAGCTCCTTCGTTTAAGGGTGTAGGGGTCTAGGGTGCAGGGGGTTTTCACATCTCCAGTGCGGCTAATTACTCAGTAAAGTAATACTTGGGACTAGCCTAATAGTAACTACAGGTTTTGCTGGAGTATGTAATTTTCGAGCACTGGGACCCTTGGGCCACGGCACAACACGTTCAGGGCTTGCGGTTGCGCATAATTAAAATCCCCCTTCAAGTAGGTAGAATATGGCTTTGGGTATATTAACATAAGAACCCCATATACCCCATATTCTATCTGCTTAAGGGGAACTATCGCCTCATCCTCTCGACATGTAGAAATTTCTATTGACTAGAAGGCCCCTCAGACTGCAACCCTTAACCCTCAACCCTAAACCCTTAAACCCCTAAAGCCTGAACCCTAAACACCCAAACCTAAACCCAAAACCCTAAAACCCCTAAGGCTGAAACCGGTGCCATGAGACCTTAGGAGTTGCAGACCCAGCCTACTGCTGTTGATGGATGAAATCCTGCACCACCTCAAGTCCAAAAAGTCCTAGGAATTACAGTAGTTGAGGGCCCCCAGGTGGTGCAAGAGTGCCTAGACCCTAAACGCTCTACCCTAACCCTACACCCTAAACCCAACTAAACCCTAAACCCTGAGTGGTGCAAGATTTCCTCGATCAATAGTTTCTCGGGTCAACATTTGGGCTTCAAGTACTGGTTTAGGGTTTATGGCTTAAGGTTTTGGGTTTAGCGTTCAGGGTTTAAGGTTTAGGGTTTAGGGCTTCGGGTTTAGGGTTTCTGGTTTTGGGTCTAGGGCTTAGGGTTCAGGGCTTAGGGTCCAAAACCGATTCAGGTTATTGCGTTTAGGGCTTAACATGCCACCCGTTGGGGTAATTAATTGGACCTGCTAAGGCAATCTAGCGGCCACTCTCCGTGCCACCAAGCTGGTTCTTGGTACAGGCTACTCATCCCACCCTACACCCTACACCCGAAACCCTAAACCCAACCCCCTGAGCCCTAAACCCTAAACCCAAAAAGCCTAAACCCTAACACCCTAAACCGCCAAACCTCAACCCTTGAAGCCTAAACCCTAAAAACCTAAACCGCTAAACCTAAACCCCCGACACCTAAACCCTAAAAGCCTAAACCCTGAAACCCAAAACCGTCAACCCTAAACCCAAAGGTGTTGCGCTGCTCTTGTTATCAACAGCTGGCGCAAGGTGTGAGGCAGAGGTGGTCCAGGGTTTAGGGTCAAGAGTTTAGGGTTCAGGGTGTAGGCTGTAGGAGTTTATGGTCTAGGGTTTAGGGTTCAGGGTTTAGGCTGTAGGGTTTAGGGTCTAGAATTCAGGGTCTAGGGTTTAGGCGTACCAAAGATTGGTTCACCTGATTGCAACGTCGACTTTTTGCATGTGGAAGCAGGTTGATACCCTCAACGTTTCTGATGAACAGGCGGGGAACCTTCAATAAAAAAACACAGGTGAACGCAGAGTTCAGTCCGGCCATTGCACTCTACATCCCGATGGAAGCTTCAACGTATACTTGACGTAGAAATAGTGATAGATAGTAGCCAAAATAATGACAGCCCTCATAAAGAAGTCAGCCGCGGCGGCGGCGACGGCGGCGGTTGCCTAAGCGTAAAGAGTAACAGGACTAGCAACGGTAGCGGCAAACGCTAACTCGTGAACAGTAATCAACAGCAACCGTGGTCAAAAACCTTGTGATCCAAGACAAGGTCTCCTTGAGAGATCAGCGCAGATGAGCAGTAGGAAGCAGAGGAGCGCTCGGCCCATGTTCATACCCGAGCCCTTAGCCCAGAAACTCACCAAGCTTAGCGGATTCAATCTCTAGCCCTGACAGGCTACTAAGCTACCATATACTGGGTATATATAAGACATAAGGCTTCCTTGTTATAGTAGCTGATTTAACAGCAACCGAGTTTTCCTGGATCCCTGATCAGATGTGCAGAATTTTTATTACTTGCTTCGGGGATAGAACGGCCTACGCGCCATTTCGAGCTTTAAAACGGCTGCGGCAAGAGAGGCTTGAATGGCCAAGAAACTCCAAAACGCAACTCTAAAACCGCGCAGCTGAAATCCCATTCGTGAAAACTGAAAGGTTTTCAACAAGTATATGAGCCATAGTCTGAACTCCTAGTACCCCTCTTAATAACCCCTAATATACTTCCCTATATAATCCCCTCTTGCGGAGTTTAGACTTTAGCTCATGTAAATGGGTTGGCTGGCGCGGAAATCCGCATCGGCTTTTTGTCCCAACATCCGCAGTAGTTAGTTCTAAGTTTGCCCACTGTCATGGGTTGAGGATTTAGAATTTAGGATTTAGCATTTAGAGTTTGGCGCTCAGGGTTTAGGGTTTAGAATTTAGAGTTTAGGGAATTATTAGGGTTCTGGATAACAATAAGGTTTGTGGACACGCCTGCTTGTTTCTGACAAACGTCCCAATGCGGGAACACATTTGGTTGGAGTCTTCGTAGCACAAGCTGAAGTTTACAAATTGAGCCCTAAACCCTGAAATCATGAACCCTCAAACCCTAAAACCTCAAACCCCTTAAATGCTATGTACCCTATAATCAAGGGTTTTAGGCTTGTACCCCTAGGGTTGTACCCCTGGGTTTGGGGATCCTTTTAAGGGACCCTATAGGGGACTACATTGGCTCATATAAGGGCAAGATTAAGGCCAAAAATGCTATGAACCCTTTTCATCCTAGAAACCTGAGACCCTCAGGTAGCTTCAATCCACCTGTCCGACAGCAGGCCACCTTAAGCTGGAAAGATGATGTTGCGTTGCGGCTCGGTCGCCTGAGCTGTCTTAAGGCTTCTGGGTTTAGGGTTTAAAGGTTCAGGGTTTAAGGCTTAAGGTTTAGTGGTGTAGGGTTCAGGGTTGAAGGCTTACAGTTTTTGGGTATAGGGAGTTGGCGGGCAGGGCTCCGGTACATCTGCTTGATAAGAAGCCAACGTGCACCCAGACGCCACCAATACCTACAACAACAATAATAGTCGCCTTACCCATTATTTTGAGTAAAGAGGCCGGTATGATGCACATGAAAGGCCTTGGCACAGCATGGCTTTACCAAACTAATTACTCAAACTTTGGTGTTTTAGGCTCTAGCTTTCGGTTCGATTCTTCCAACCTCTGCAGAATGCATGTGGGGATTTCCAACAGCTGGGGGTCCATTTTGAGTTTACGTAGAATAAGATTACAATATACTGGGGATTCCTCAGGTGCTTCTATTTGGGGCCCCCTTTTTGGTGAAGACTCCCCCCCCGCCCACACCCTAAACCCTAAACTCCCATATCATTTCAAGAGGCTGGTGCTTGCTCCATGTCCGGAAGGTCCGCCAGCGCGACCGTAGTGGCAGCGGCAACACCCCTGCTACAACGCAACGCTGTTGGGTTTCCGGTTGAGGGCTTACGGTTTTGACTCGCGAGAAGATGGGCGTTTGAAGTGGGATGTAGGGCTGGGGTGGTCAGATCACACAACGCATAACTGTCAAGCCCTAGCTACCCTGTGTACTGGCCTAATTACTAAGCCCTATATCCCTATATAACCCCCGGGTGGTATGTGATCCCATATAACCCAAGTAAAGGTTTATGGAAAGTCTTGGAAACTTGTTTGGGAGGCCCGGACTAAACCCCATAAACCCTATAAACCCTAAACCCCAAGCCCTAGATCCTAGCCCCAAAGCCCTAAACTCTAAACCCCAACCCCTAAATCCTAAACCCTAACCCCTTTATACGTCTTAAACCCCAAGCCCTAAACCCTAAGCCCTGAACCTGCGCGTTCGACTTGCATGGCAATTTTGGCCCTTTGTCATGAGAGATTAGCCAGGGCGGGCTGGGTTTTAGGGCTTAGGGATTCGTGTTTAGGGTTTAAGGTTTGGGGTTTAGGGCTTGGGGTTTAGAGTTTAGGGAATACGGCATGGGATTTAGGGTCTATTCTATAGCGGTTGGGTTTCGGGTTTAGGGTTTAGGTTGTCCTCCTGTTGCGGTATTGAAGTCCATCTGCGTTTGCAAAACAAGCTAGAAGCACTATCGCTGCTTTTGCGTACAGAGCCCTCTACCTTGCGCGCAGCCCCTGATGGCAAGGTCTAGGGTATAGGGGTGTAATTACGGGTTCAAGGTTTAGGGGTTTAGGGGTTTAGAATCTAAAGTCTAGAGTCAAGAAGTTGGGGGTTTGGGCTTTGGGGGCTTTTCGACCCTTTCAGTTTTGATGTTGCTGGCTGATTCTGGGCATCCTTGCGCTACACGGGTCAACGGCGTTCAGATCAAACAGCACCAATTGTCGATCACTACTGTTAAGAAAACGGTTTAGGATCGCAGCACATCTCTATTTTGTGTATGTCGCATATGCTCTACTATAATGTTATATCACTTCATTACTAAAGTACACTATTGCTGTATGACCTTTTTCACTATTAGTGCGACTACTCCTGGTACTATACTCCTAAGCCCTCAACCCCAATGCTACCATGTGAGGCACTCTCCCTCTAAATCCTAAACCCTAAACCGTAACCCCTAAACCCCAAATCCTAAAACCTAACCCCTTAAGCCAAATCCCCAACCCGAAACCTGTAAACCAAAGCAGTCCTGCTCTGAACGTCAGCTGCCAAGCCCTGCGCCTCGCACGTATTCGTAGATTGAGCGCGTCTTACAAGGAGGGGCCCGTAGCTATAAGTTGGGTTATAAGTTAGGATAATTATGGTTACAAGTTCCACAAGTTCTAGTTATAGGACTTATAATATTAGTTAACGAACTAGGGGGCCCCTCCTTGTAGGATGCTAGGGACCTTAAAATGTACATCGATCCTATAGAGATAAGGGTTTAGGGCTGAGTAGGTATAGAATAACGATCCGAGGGTTTAGGGCCCATAATGGGCGCCGATGGTTTCAACCTTAGATAGAATTGGTGTTTTAGGCTGGAAACTGCTACTACTGTTGGGCTGAAATAAGGCTTATAGGGTCTGGCTCAAGGTTTAGGGTTAGGGTTTAGGGGTTCGGGTTTAGGATCAAGGGTTTTGGGGTTTAGAGTTTCGAGTTTGGGGGGATTTAGGGTGCTCAAGGGCGGAGGAAGAAGTGGATCAATCCGGAACCCTCCCTGTACCCTTCTTTGGGCTCATGCATCTCCTCATATATAGCGGACGCTTAGGCGTAAAGGAGGGTAGTTGGGTGTGGTTGAAAAGCGTTGGCTTTCAGGTGACGCCCTTGTTTTATAAGGGCCTTCAACATCTTTTAACTTTCGGCTCATGTGGTGTTAGGAAGGTCGCTGACTACCCTTGACACTGAATCCTAAAACCTGAAACCTGAACCCCGAAGCCACTTCAACCAGGCTGTCTTTGTGCTGCTGGAGTCTGTTCATGTCTGGCTCCCGTGTTTCTGACTACTGGATCTGACCTGCAGCAAGTAGAGTCCAACATCACCAGCATAGGCATATGGCTCCTACGTGTGGGCACGACGATGATTTACAACGGGCCTTGTCAACACAATGCGGCCAGCTCTGACCTACCAAAGCTGAATCTTTCTTTAAACCCTAAAACCTACACCCTAAGCCCTTAGACCCTAATCCCTAGACCCTATATCCTAATAGACCCTAAGCTCTAAACCCTGAACCCCAAACCTTCGTTGCACCAGAGACCTGTAAAGCAGGTGGCATAGTCTCTTCACAGACCAATTGCAAGCTCGCTCAACTAAGCTTAGCCCACATTACCCCAGGAACAAAAAAGGATCCTTTTTACATAAATATAAGGAATCCCATACCCCCAAAAGTATAAAGGATCCCTAACAATGATCCAGTAAGGGTTGGGCTACCAACAAACTTTGGGGGATTTGGGGCTTAGGGTCGAGGACGGTGGTTGTGGGGTTTGGAATTTGGGGTTTAGGACTTCGGATTTTCGGATTCAGGGGCGTAGGGTCGAGGACTTAGGGTTTGGGGTTGGGATTTACGGCTTAGGGTCTAAATTAGGACTGAAGCTTGGGGTTTCAGGTTCAGGAAACTTAAAAGCCCGAAGGGGTCAAGATAATCGGATACTTTCCCCAATCCCTGTAACGACAAAAAGAATTGTTTGGCCAAATCCCAAGTACTCAACTAGCAGGTGCTTGGACACTTATGGACATCTTATTGAACATGCTATCCAAAAACCCTAAACCCTTTAAGGGACCTAGACTCTGTAAGCTTATCAAAAGCCTGTGTAGTTCGTTAAGTATCTTCCCTAACTCACTAGTAACAACCCCAAGCTCTACCCGAACCCTAAGCTTACAACCTGTAAATCCGAGGCTTCCCTATCACTCACCCTAGACCCTGAATCCTAAATCCCTAAACCCTAAATCCCTAAACCTTAGGCCCCCAAAAAGGACAAAAACCGCTGGTTGACCTGAAAGATGCAATGGACACCAATGCTTACCACCCCTCATCTGATCAGGGTCTAGGGATTTAGAGTTTAGGGTTTAGATTTCCCAAAATGCCCACAATAGTGGACTTTAGCCCCCCAAAGTAGCAGACGCAATGGCCAGTTTTATGGATGTGTGGGAGGTTTAGGTAAGTAGTTATGTTTTGTGTACTGCCCCCACCCAGTAACAGTCTATATTAGGGGTCCTATTCAGGGCTATATATAACCACATTATATCTATTATCCAACTGTTACTGAGAGGAGCAGTATTCAAGTTATGTTATTCATACAGACGGGAGCTGGGCATCGCGCCATGCCGCTGATAAACTGTGTGAAGCGCCGGCGCGTTTCGGAAGAGGCCTGCAGAGCACACTGTCGTGTCTGGCTTCTGTGACATGTAACCGTGAACCCCTAAAACCCTACACCCCATGGACGCCTAAACCCCTAAACCCTGAACCTCCAGACCCTAAACCCCTAACACCTAAAACCCCAAAACCCTAAACCCCATGAACCCCTAAGCCCCTAAAACTCTAAACCCTAAACCCCTAACACCCTAAACCGCCTTACCTGGTATTTTCAACAACCACTTCCCGAAATCTCAGAGGCGGCTATGTCCCCGGTGTAACCCTAAGGGTCCAAGGACCCAAATAATAGGGTTTCAGGGCCCAAATACCATGCTATCCATGGTATTCGGGCCCTAAAACCTTATTATTTGGGCCCTATGTACACCTACATCATTCCTTAATATCCCTAGATATCCCCCTATATAACCCCTTTGAAGGGACCCTATTATTTGGGTCCTTGGACCCTTCGGGTAAGGCATGGGATCAGTTTGGATCTTAGTATCATATACCCAACGCCATATTCAATCCCAAAACCCTAAACCCTAAATAGTAGTTTCCGTTCTCTCCTCCATTATCGCGATATAACCCCTATATTACCCCTATATAACCCCCATATAACCCAATCTACTTGAGGGGGACTATAACTAAACTTGGTTGAAGGCATCGATGTATGGAGGCTCTGTTAGACCCCAAGTCCACTCAGTTTGAGGTTAAGGTTTCGGGTTTAGGGTTTAAGGATTTAGGGTTTAGGGTTCAGGGTTTAGGATTTAGGGTTTAGGGTTGGGGGGGCTAAGGACCTTTAGGGTTTAGTGCTTGAAGGAATTAGGGTAACCTACCTTATATAAGTAGGGTTATGTTAAGTAGTCCATGAACCGGTCTAGTACATTATGAAGGAATGGGGGGTCGTAAGCAAGGTCATAAGCCCAATCTTAAATAGTCCTTGAACCTTAAACTAGTGCGCACCTTTTTTCCCAGCTGTGTTCCAATCAATACTTCACGCGAAAAACGCCGCAGCACGCATGCCATGAATACTGAATACGTGGCATCGGACAACTCAAACCCTAAACCGTAACCCTAAACCCTATAAACCCTAAAGCCTAAACACTAAGGCCCTAGACCCTAAACCCTACACCCCATAAACCCTAAACCCTATACGCCCGAAAGCCTAAACACTAAGACCCTAAATCCTAAACCATATAAACCCTAAACCCTAAACCCTAAAGCCTAAACCCTAAACCCTGAACACTAAGCCCCAGACCCTAGACCCTAACCCTAAGCCCTAACCCCTAAACCCCTAAACAGGTACCTGGACCCCTCCTAAACCCTAAACCCTAAGCCCTAAACCCCTAAACCCTGAGCTCGGCCTCGACCAGTGCATTTGCAGCACGCTTCACAGGCTCCGGGGTCTTGCCGGCTCCTTTCAGGGTCTAGGGTTTAGGGTTTAGGTTTAGGGTTTAGGGTTTATATAGGGTTAAGGGCTTCGGGGTTAGGGTTTAGGGTTTAGGGTTTCGGGTTTAGGTTTTAAGGCTAAGGGCTTAGGGTTTGGGGTTTAGGATTCAGGGTTTAGGACTTTGGGTTTAGGATTTGGGGTTTACGATTCAGGGTTCAGCGGCTCCTTGCAGGGTTTAGGGTTAAGGGTTCCGGCTTCAGGGTTTTGGATTTAGTCCTACTGCAGAAATCCTACTTTACTCTATGTTGGGTACTGCCCCAGCCAGTAACAGTCTAGAATAGAGCTCTAAGATAGTTATCTTATACTCGATATACAAGGTCCTTGTACCTAGACCCTCCAACCACCCTCTACTTGGGCCTCAATAGCCATGATCAGTGGCCCTCTAAAGCGAATTAAGGGTACGTACCAGAAGGTCTTGATATCCTAAACCCTAAACTCCAAATCCTACTTACCGTTTCATGTTGCATTTTCCCTTCCGCTAGTGAGGTAACCCTAAGCCCTGAACCCTAAACCGAAAAATACTACACCCCAAGGCGCAGGTACTGAAGGCTCCGTCCAGAGTCATGCTACAGAAGAGAATTCCAACGATGATGCCTGTAAGGCCGCATGAGCTGTAGTCTAAACTCCTTGAAGGGGGTTATATCAGATTATATAGAGAAGTACGTACTGTGGGGGTTATTAAGGGACAACTATAGGGGTTATTAAGGGTGATACTAAGAGTTTAGACCATGGCTTACATGGTAGTTTCAAGAAACTGCGAGCCACTTTACAGAAGCCACAAGGGGATCTTAAAAGGAAGATATGTTGGTTTTGGGCTTCAAAAAATCAGGGGGCCCTTCTAGATAGTCCCAAGGTTCTAGCATCTTGGGCTGTGTATTTAACCCGTGTGGACTGCGCTTGTCTGGGATTTGCCAGGGAGCTCCGCCCATGAATGGCCGAACATGCAAAACGGTTGGAATATGTTGGTAACCTCAGCCCTCAAGATTCTGGGTTGCTGTTAAGGAACTTAATTTACTATATTATTTACTATACATACCCATTCCCATTATGGTAACTTAATTTAAGTTCCTTAACAGCAACCCAGGATTAGGAGCCTACTCTGGTCATACGATTTTGAGAGCTGTCTTTGCCGAAATCCTCTTCCCATCTTCGTCCAGTGCAAGTAAGATGGTGAAGGAAAAGCCAGGGTTAAGGGTTGAGGGTTTCAGAGCACCCTAAACCCTAAACCTAAGCCCACTACCCAACAGCCGGCGCCTGGGGTGTAGATGTCGTACTTCAGGACATCAAATGCTCGAGCGGAGGACAGACGAGTCTCCTCAAGCACTTCCTACACACCCAAAAAGACATGAGCTGTCTTGCCATCGATTCGCCTAAACCCAAAGCCCCAAACCCCTATAGGCCCTAAACCCAAAACCCTCAACTCTATGCCCTAAGCCCAAAACCCTAAACCATACTCGGGTTCCAGAAGGCTTGCACCATCTTTCGTGCTTGTCCTGCCTGTATCAGCCTATAATCCCAGAAAGCCCCTCTACATCGGTTTAGGGTTTAGGGGATTCAAATTTACGGTCCATGGTTTAGGGTCCAGTAATCCCTACCAAGGGGCAGAAGGCAGAAGGTGTCCATGTTCTTTTCCGATTGGTTCTCCATTACAGCGAACCCCTACGTTGCATCGCAAGCACAATCAACCAATGGCCACTAAACCCCAAACCCAAAAGCCAACACCCTAAAACCTAAATCCCTAAACCCTCAACCCTAAACCCCAAACCTAAAAGCCAACACCCTCCATCACCTCGAACCCCTACTGCTGATGGAGGACATCTTGCACCACCTTATGTTTCTAAAGTCCTAGGAATCAAAGTAATTTAGGGCCCCCAGGTGGTGCAAGATTTCATCCATCAACAAACCCTAAACCCAAAGCCCTAAACCCCTAAACCCTAAACAGTATGGAGCATCCCAAGAACATTCAGCCCCGCGGCCGCAAAACAAAAAAGACAAAACACACACACCCACCCACCCACCCAC